CCCGCCTGCAAAGCGTCGGCGGCGGCAGCAGGAGCAGCAGCAGCTGAGTGGATGTGGCCAGCCATCGCAGGCAAGGGAGGCGGCTGGATTCTCACGGGCGCCCTGCACACATTGCAGCCCAGGCAGCGCCAGCAGTGCCAGTAGCGCCTGTGCCCTCACATGGAGCGACGGATCGCCGTGCGCGTCGCGGGCGCCGAGCGGCTGGCAGGCGGCCGCAGCCCAGCAGCCCCACTGCCAGCGGTGGCAGTGGTCGCCTTGGGGCACGCAGCAGCTGGTGCTGGATGCAGCCTTGCCGCCACAGCAGCAGCAGCGCCAGCACGCGAGCGGGTGGCGCCTTGCTGTCCTGCAGGCTGCGTCCGCGCCCGCGCCGGCGCGCCCGCCGCCCGCGTCAGAGCTCGAAGCGGGCCTCATGTGGGCGGGCGGCGTCCTCGGCGTCGACTGCCCCGAGGTGTTCGCGTTCGCTCGGCACGTCTGGGGCCGCGCGGCCAGCCGCGTGGACGAGCTGCTGATCGCGTCGCTGGGCGCGTGGCGGCCGCCGCTGCACGCGGCCGTGCTGGTTACGCTCTGGCTGGCCAGCAAGCTCGAGGGCAGCCGGCGCGGCGTCGCGGGCGCGGGGCGCCTGTGCGCGGCGACGGGGCTGTCGGGGTGGGGGGTGACGTCGGTTGAGATTCACATCCTGCAGGCCGTGGACTTCAGCCCCTACCGTGGCTGGTGACATGTGCGCGGAGGATAGCCGCGCCGGCCTTGACCCGCGCCCCTCAATGCTGCGCTTGAGAGCTATATACGCTGCGTCGTGCCGCGCAGTTGCACACAGTTCTTTAGCTCGAGTTTCCAAGATTCGGAGCGTATGGCACCTGCGCGGCGGCATGGGGCCTCTCCCCTGCTTGCTAGTGTTGGCGGGCCGACCTGTCTTAGGTGTTGGTTGCCATCAATCCGGCCACCCCGCCGACGTGTACTGCACATTCCTGCGAAGCGCCCCGCAGTCCCGGCCCTGTCGTGTAGGCCGGCCCTGCCGCTCCTCGGGCCACTGCGTGGCCCCGGCCGCATCACGACCATCACCGTCAGCACTCCTTTCCAGAGATCCGCCCCCAACTGTCACGGCACTCCGTTTGCAAGATGCCGCCCGGCCCACAGGAGGCGGTCGCACACCAGCGCCCCCGGCGCCATCACGGCTTCGGTCCACATGTGAAATTTGATCCTGCCTGTAATGGCCTGGACGCCTGAAAAAGGCCGTTATCACAATTGAAAGACGCGTTTCTCCTCGGCTGATCTGGCGCTGTACTTGCTCACGATCAACATCACCCATCAACAGCGCTTCAATTGCCATGTTTCCACGGTTTCTCATGGGATGGATCCCCTCCTGCTGGTCCTTCGCAACCTCACCCTGGACATGGATTGGGTGTTTGCATTTGAATCCATTTCGACTTTTCAACTGCCCTTTGGGCGTCGTGAAGTGTTGGCACTGCCCTTGTGGGCCGACGCGCAGTCTGCAACTCCACAGAGCATCTCCCTTAGCTTCTCCCTAGCAACGGGGCCTGTTGTAATCTGCCCTGCTCCTGTATATGGGATCTAGCAAACAAGTTGGGTATGACGCAAACGGCATGCATGAATTCAGCTTCAAAGGAATGGTGTGCAGTGTGTTGGTCCGCATGGCATGGTGGCGGAACCTGCATGCGCCATCCTCATCACGCTCTGCCTGTCCGTTGCACTGTCAGCGTCTTCCTTCAGACAAGCTGACTTACCGGTATCGTGCATGGCACAGACATCTTCTATGCGTTCTTCATCAATTCGCATACCGTACAAGTGCACAATTGTTTGAACTGTGATCTGGCGCGAAGGATCCTGGGTCTCAATCTTTTGCAAAGCGGAACGGGATGCTTATCCCATTGATATGCAGCAGCGGAGAAATAGTGGAGTGGGGGCTCGTGGAGCTGCAGGGCCGGATAGAGCAGCAACTGGACATCGAACCTGGCGCCCCTTTGCCCGTCGGAACGCTGCAGCTGGCGCCATCGGTAAGGCCGCCCGGGCCCTAGGGGACCCAACAAGCCCAAAAGCATGGACACATTGCCCGTCTGCACAATATTTCCAAATGCATAGCAACTTCCATAAGGGCAGCTACACTAGGGCACGCCGGCTGTCAGCGAGCTGCGGGCCTTCGACTGCATGCGCTTGCCGCATTGCGGTCGCGCCTTTACCTCTGCCCCCTGAATTCCATTCCCTCGTCTCCAACCTCAGAGCAAAGACGTCATCCAACTCCAAGTGGGGTACCACCTTCTGGAAGGCAAGCGGGTGCCACTTAAGAAGCCACTGGCAATTCTGGAGAAGCGGGCGGCTGGCGAATCAAGCAGCGGCGGCTCAAGCGGCGGCGGCAGCGGCGGCGGCGGGGGCGGCGGCGACGGTGGCGGCAGGGGCGGCAAGGGTGGTGGGGGAGGGGAAGCCGAGCCGAGGGGGGAAGAGGGGCCTGCAAGCGGCGGCAGAAGCGCGGGCTGGCGCGGCGGCGGCACGGGCGAGGGCGCAGGGGAGCGCGGCGGCGAGGGCGAGGGCGAGGGCGCGCGGTGTCGCTACGAGGTGAGCGTCGAGCGGCAGGCGCGTGGACGGGGGCATGTATGTCTGCAGGCCTCCGGAGCTGCTCATGCACCGGCCGGCGCCTCAACAAGGGGCCGCGAGCATGAAGCGCGACGCGCGCCAGCTCACCACAGCTGGACGAAGCATCGAGCGCGCGCAGGGGCACACGTGCGCGACGGGCCCGCGGCTGCGTGCACGGCGCGCCCGCCGCGCGCCCGCAGCTCGGATTACTCTGCCGCCGCCCACTGCCGCGCTGCGCACGTCCCAGGTGATAGGCGTGATCCGCCACAAATATCTCTTCAAAAACCGCCCAAAGGCACTGATCAGCAAGCCGGCCACCCGCGGCGGCGGCGGCGGGGGCGGCTGAGAAGCTGGGGCAAGAGCGGTGACGGAGTGATCGCGTGCGCCGGCCTGCATGTGCGCCGCTCACAGTGTCGGCGGTGAGTAATTGGAAGACAGCTGCTTTTGCCCGCGGCTGGGTGGTGCGGGGCCAAGATCGGTGGCACGCGGCAGTGTGGGAGATGCACAATTACAATGGAAGCTGGAGGGAGTCGAGGGGTCATCATGCGGCTGGCTGAGGCCGCCTGAGTGTGTAGACCAGTACTTGGAAATTCCTCCGCCTTTAGAAGAGGTGATACATCGGCGCGGCGCCAGCCATGCAAAGCAATAAGTGGCATCCCACGTAGGGAGGGGCCAGGGCAGGAGCATCTTCGGAGAAGTCGCGCGGCAGCTGCTGTCGTGTGTGTGCTCTTGGGCATCGTACGCGGGAGATTAGTAGTAGTAGTCGTGGCGGCGAGCGGCTTGGAACGGCTCTGCAGCAGCATGCCGAAAAAAACGCGATGCAACGGTGGATCGATCGCGTGTCGCAAGCGGGGCGGGATAAAAGCTGGAGCGGCCGGCGGCAGTGCCGCGGCCTCCTGACCCTTAGCGTTATCAGTGTATGGTCGATGATTGGCAGACGTGAGAACCCAGGGTCGGCCGAGAGTAGCGAAAAGCAGCGATGCGGGATGCCTGTCAACAGGCGGGCCGCGCCGCGCCGCGCCGCGCAGCCAATGTGCTTGCGAGGTCGGACGCCCGCGGGGGCGCCGCGCCGCGGCCAATGCGGGCGCGGCGGGCGCGGCGCCCCTGCCCGCGTTCGAATCCCGGTCCATGTCGCGCGCCGAGCGTCTTCCGCCCGGGCGGCCGGGATCGCTTTATCTCCCACCAGTGTGCGGCAGCCCGACCGAGCAAAGTACCTCCCCAAAAAACCCCGGAAATTGAAGTGAAAAAGGGAGTTTATGGGCACGCAGCCGCCCCGGCGCCGCTCTTCTGGGTCTGGGCGTCACCCACACACGCGCTCTTGCGAGCTCGGCCGGGCGCTGGGAGTGCATGGGGCCGGATTTTTGCGCCCCTTGTGGGGGCCAATGCGCCCGACCCTGAGCCCGGCAAGGGCTCAGGGTTTGGCCCGTTTCGCCGCACCCAAAAGGCGAACCGGAGATGATTGACATCAACCAAGAACAAGGGGCACACCCAAACAAAAGGACACTGCCCTTTGCGGGTAACCACGTCCCTTGCAGAGGGTGCCACTGGCAAACATGCACGCCTCAGGTCAACAGGACAAATCAATCATGGGACCATCAGTCAATCAAGTTTTGCTTGGGCCGGCTTCTGCTGGCAACCCCATCCCTGGTGTAGCCCGACCCAGGCATTCAAGGCGCAGCACAGGGCTGCGCGGAAAAGCCAATGTGTGGGGTTTGTGCGCCGTAATGGCGCCGCACGCGGCAGTCGTACACCTGCCCGGAGCTTTGTGCTCCTTGCTTGCAATAATACACATACGGGCTGCCCTCACGTCGCTCGCAGCTGCTGCTGCGTCGACGGCAGTGGTGAGCCTCGGCAAGAATAGGTCAGAGGGCCCAAGCTCAAAACGCCCCTCGGAGCAGGCTACAGCCGCCCGTCTGCCTCCCGCCAAATGCTCGCGGTTGCAGAATATTAGTGGGTGCAAGCAGTTCTGAAGTCTGGGCGGGCTTGTTGGACCCGTCGCATGGAGCGGCAACGCCCCGGGAGGTAAGGCCTCGGGCGCCAACTAGAGGCTCAGTGCTCATGCAAGTGTGGGTGCAAATGTGCGCGAGGTCTCAATCTGCTTGTTTAGGAGTGCCGCGTGCGTGTCTGTCCGCGTTCCGGCGGCGCGCAGCTGGTTTATGGGTGGTGACTTTCCCCTCGGGCTACCCGCATGTCGAGGTTGACAAGGCGAGAAACAAACAGGCACCAAAACGAGATCTGAGCTGATGACATCAGATCGGGGGCACAGATCCACGACGTCATCAATTCGGCCAGATCCTCATGCTCTGGAGCCACTTCTTGCGCTGCCGCTCCCCCGTCGCCGCCCCGCCCGCGCCGTCGGGCGTCGGCAGCGCGGCGCCGACGCCCCGCAGGCCCAGGGATCTCAGATCGCCCGCGACAATCAGCGGGGAGCTCTTCGCAGAGGCCAGCCCCAACCTGGGCGCGCCGGACGCGCCTGCACCCCCCGCGGCGGCCGAGGCGGCTGCTGCCGCCAGCGCCGAGCGCGGCGAGTGCGAGGGCGACGCGGCGGCGGCCAGCGCCGAGCGGGGGGACAGCGTCGGCGAGCCGCCGCCAGGCGGCTGCTTCTTGGCGGCCAGGCTGCTCGAGAGCTTGAGAGGGCGGTGGGAGCCGAGTATGCCCGAGTCCGCCACGGACGCGGCCGCTGTGGCCGGCGGCGGCGCCGCAGCCGCGAACGGGCTGCTGGCGGGGCCGGCGGCCGGCTTGGCGGCGCGGGCGGGGGAGCAGGACCTGCGAGGCGACGGCACGGGCAGGAGGACCGCGACCTTGCGGCGCACGTCCCCGCCGGCCGCTGCGGCTGCGCCGGCGGGCCGCGGGCTGCGAGGCGGCGCGCCCGCGCGCTCGGC